GCAGCGTGCAGCCTGTGCGGTGGAAGCGCTGGCTCGGCGGGTTAGTGCCTTTAATTGTGCGTGCCCAGACGCTGGGCGGGAGTGGATCTGCGCACACCCTTTCATGTAGGGGCATGCAGGGTGCCTGCCAGGCTGGCGGTGGGCACAGCACGGTGGCAAGCAGCTCAGTTAGCATAAATGTCAGGCTCTAATTGGCATTTGGTTTGTCAGGGACTCCGTGCCCTCCCTGTGCTCCCCGGGGGAGGCAGTGGGACTCACTATTGAGGACATGGGGCTTAATTAAGAGAGAGGATGTAATGGTCTGTCCATTAGAAAGGCTCCGGAGGGCAGGTGTAGGGCTTGGTTCTGGGCAGGTGTGGGGTTTTATGCCTTTTCATGGACTGATTTAGAGACTGAAATGGCAAGGACTTGGCACACTAATTAACACATGATCAAAATTGAGGGGATTTTCCAGCAGACACAGTGATCTAGTTAATATAAATATTAGTTTTACGGAGGATTGATTTTCCTTTGTAAATGAAAGTCTGTCATTGAGGACAGGCCTGTCACTGGAATTATGGCAGCAGCCTTTTGAGGTGAATTTGCATGATTTGCCAAAGAAATTAAAAACATAATAACTATCCAATTTCAATCTGCATATTCATGCAGCTGCCATCCCCCTGCTATCAGAGCACTGTGCAGTCATGAGGGGATCTGAGCTGATCTGCCCCCTGGGAAAGGCAAGGGCTGATGCAGCCTCCAGCTCACATGCCCTAGAAGGACAGCAAGATCTGGCCCCACTGGGATGTCTCCCCAGCCCTGACACAGCATGGTGAGGGGTGGCATTTGGGGCTGTGCAGTCAGGGCCCAGAGCAGAGATGTCACCTATAGGATTTGGCAGACAAGAGGTGGCTGCCAGTGGACTATGACACTGCCACTAAAACACACTGTGAAGTGTGCAATGAAAAGAAGTGTAGTGACCTTTGGAGGGATGTAAGTGAAGGCAGTTCAGTGTGGGTCCTCCATAGGAGCAGCAGCTGTAACTCAACCATACCCAGCGAGAGGGAAAATGCAGAGGGAATCTGAAATCTCCGTAAGTGCTTGTGTACATCCTGCCCAACGTGTTTTGCTGGAAAACCTCCAGATGTGCTGCTGAGACCGATGAGGGAAGGTGCTTTTCTTGGGAGAGGGGGTGAGACGTGCAGGACCCAAGCGGAGGCAGGCTGACCTTGCAGAGGGGGCAGCTGCCATGGCTTGTGCTTGCAGCCTGACCTGAACCGTGAGGCTTCATCCCCCACTGCCCCAAATGTCCTCTCAGATGGCTTGCTAGCAGGAGGGGACGGGCACGCCAAGAGGAAACTGCCTTGGCCAGATGGTTTGTTTGCAGGGCCCGGCTGGTGATTTATCCAGGACTCACTGCCATGCACATACAAGCGATTCTGCCATCGTCTGGCTGGGGATGGTTGCACGTTCATGCTCCTCTGGCTCTCCTACATCCAGATGATCCTATAAATCTTCCGTGAGATTTATGCCATAGCATCAGTTGCAAAAACAGCAGTAGGTTAAAAAGCCTGAGCAGGTTTGTCCTGCCTTTTTTGAGCTGACGCTTTGAACTACCAGTGCCAGTTCGGTGAGGGATGTAGCTGCCGTGTTAGCTGGAATAGAGGCTGCAAAGCAAAGTTCTGGGAAAGAGATTAAAATGCATTTCTGATCCTGGAAGAATTGATCAGCTCATTGTTGCAAGACTCCCTTCAAGTGTTTTAGCAGGGGAAATCAGCCTTTCAGGTGCTTTCTGTGCCAAAGGCTTCCATTTACTCTATCAAACAGAGCAACTACTGGAACCACCAGGCTCCCACATGCTGTTCCAACAATTAGCTCCACAGTGCCCTTGTTCAGTCAGTCTCAGCAAATTTGTGGGGCTTTTCAGAAGGTCCAACTAGCCATTAGAGTGATCCAGCCATTTAATCTTCAAATGACACAGAAAGTTGTGTCGGCTTGCACTCCACTCTCCCTTCCAGAAGCTCCTGTTAGCAGGAGCAGGAGCATGTGGTACCCAAACCTACTGCCACTTGCAGGGAAGCAGCTGGGTTCATCACCTAAAGACTGAGCCTCCCTGCAGCCCTTGGGATTGCCAGCAGGTCCTGGAGAGAGCTCTGTGGGCCCCAGCAAGCGCTGGGCAGGGAGCACAGGAGATGCAGGGTTTGGGAGGGCTACCGCGGCTCTGAAAGAACCTGTGTGGGTGGGGGGGGGACATTGCTTTTGGCTGCAATTCAGGCGTTTCTTTGATTTCACAGCCTGATAGGGATGGGAACAAATTGGAGGTCGGTGTCATCCCTACTGGGAAGGATATGACTCAGAGGCACACAGGCTCTTTTGCTGAAGCAGCAGAGGCAATAACACTGGGTACTACCGGCTCCCAGTGAGGGATGCGGATCGTGGGGGGTGTCCAGCTGCACAATTAACATAGTCCCCTGTGGGATTTGAGTGGATCCAAGGGTGGCTCACATCCCTGCACTCAACCAGGCTGCCAAAAGTCAGTCCTGAACTTTGAGGATCTGGATTTGATCCTTCTTGAGCCTGACTGGTGCTTTTATTAAGGATTCGCCTGTGAGACCATTTCAGCTGTGAGATAATTGTATGATCATAGTCTCATATGCTCTTTCACTTTGTTTGTTGTTGCTGCTTTTTTCTTGTTGTTGTTGCTTTTTCCTTTGAAGAGGCTTGTAGTGAATTACAAAAAGAGGATTTTAATTCAGGAAACCTTGATGACTTATTATGCCTTATTACTTCTTAGGCATGGAGTACAGCTTGTTCTTTTTCCTTCCTCCACTTGTTTATCTCCCACATCTCCTCCTCCACCACTACCACTCCAAGGTAAATCACAAGAACACTCCTCCATTAGAGAACGGCATGGTACTTTTTCAAGTGATTCACTCAAGCAGGAGTGGGCAAACATGCTTTCATCTTTTTTTCTGCTACTGTTTGTTGGCATAAAGTGCCAAGTGGCCCAAGTACATTTCATAAGTGCTGGAAAATATTGCAGGCAAAATCTTGCTCTTTCTTGATGTGGCCGGTCAGGGACAGATTTGTCCTTCACGCAGCAAAATCAGTGAAAGTTCATATGGAGTGGATACGCTTTTGCAGTATTTTGATCATACATCCCAGGAGTAGAGTGATGGCAAATCTTTCTGCTCTCTTGTCCTAAATTCATTTTAGAAAGCTGTGTAGCTCATGGTGGTTGGTTTCAACCCAGCTCTCTGGCAGTGACAAACTTGCGGCAGGGCCAGTGGCTGTGCAACCACTGATACGCCTCCCTTGGGCTGGGATGTCACTGGATTGCTGAGCAGCAGCGAGGTCAGCTGCTGTTTTCTGTGTAGGACCTGTCTTTCAATGCTGGGCAACTGCACTGTTAAGTTCAGGTCTCTCTGCTTAAAGTTTTGGAGGTGTTCTGGGTGCTCTTTGCAAACATTTTCAGTGCAGACGCTGCTCTTCTGCCATTGCTGTGGACACTGAAGCTACAGAGGGAGCAGGGCAAGCTGGAGGCAGGCTGCTGCTCAGAGCTTTGCCTGTCAAGTGCAGCAGGCTAAGGTGTGGGGAAAGGAAGTGACAGACCCTTAGGTGTGGTCTTGGGGCAGAGGTAACCCCTCTGGGCTTCAGGAGAGCTCGCACATGCTGGCATGAAGCACCAGTAACGCTTGAGTACTGTGTAGCAGGAGCAAGTGTGTTCATCCCTCTGTTGAATGAAACACAGCCATATCTGTTGTTGGCCTGTCTGTGTCACCTTGTACTGTGGGCATGGCAGTCGGGGCAACCCAAGGGACTCTGTCCTGCCTTGGTCATGATGGGAGGGGGCAGGTAAGGATCAGATGAGCTACACACTTGGCTTTCAGTCTATGCTAAGGGACTTCAGGCATCCAAGCTGTAAATGGGAAACTCCTTGAGGAGGTTTCTCATCAGAGAGAGCTGGAAACCACTGATTCGAGACCAAATCAGCCATACCTGGGGATTTGTATCCAGGGGCTTTTGCTGCTATTGGTATTCAAATCAAGTATCTTCAATTCCAGTCTCAGCCTTTAACTTCTCCTGGGATATCAAACATACCAAATCTCCTCCCTGAGGATTGACAAAAAGCATGGTATAATTTAAAATGTAATATTAAAGCAAGTGAATCTCCTGCTGTATGTATTTCAGCTTCAAGTTTGCAGCTACCCAGTTGTTACCTATGCGTACTTACTGGGACCACGTCCTTCCTCTGTGCTGTGCTTTAGGGGCTGTTTTGCTGTATTACAGAGAAACTGAGAGCCCGGCTTTCATTTTGTTGTGCATATCCTTGAAACAAAATTGTCAGCTATTCTGATTGTGGAGTATAACCGCTGGGGATGAAAAGAGGCAGGATGAACACAGCTTGAGATCCCCATCCCAAGATGAGTTTTCAGCACTGGTAGTTAGAAAAACCCACCTCAGGCTTTTTCAGTGAGCAAGCTCCCAGCAGAATAAACACAACCCTCCCCAGTGTCATTATCGTGGCATTGCTTCTTCTGACAATAATGCTCTTTAACTTCTAATGATATCAATCTTCAGCTTAGTCCTTTCTGGTTTTGCTGCTGGTCTCCTAGCAGACAGTAGTGGCTGGGGGGGGGGGGGTGCTCCTCAATAACCTGCCCAGGCTGCACAGGGTGCAGCAGTGGCATGATGTGCTGTGCACATGGAAGGGTGCCAGTGTGTGACCCCACTCCTGCAGGCATGGGTGTGAGAGCCTGCCCAGCACTGCCAAAGCCACCTGCCAGGAGGTGAGACACTTGTTGCAAGTGGCTGCAGAAAATAATATAATGGTGTTTTCCTCTTTGAACAGATGGCAAGAATTATCTACAGCTGCAGAGCAGCAGAAGGAGGGAAGGCCAGCGAGCCCGGCTCATCAGCCCCACCATCTATCTGCCCCAGAGCGCTGTCTGCATGGTCTTCCAGTACCAGGCGTGGGGCAGCAACGGGGTGATGCTGCGGGTCTGGCGGGAAGCCAGCCAGGAGCACAAGGCACTTTGGGTCATCACAGAGGACCAAGGGGAGGAGTGGAGGGAAGGCCGCATCATCTTGCCAAGCTATGACATGGAGTACCGGGTAAGATGCTCGGGGAAGGTGTGTTGCGCCAGGCAGGCTTCTCCTGCATCTTTATTTCAGTGTTTCAGAGCCAGAGCTCATTCATCATTAGGGAATGTGGCTGTTTTCATTGTGTTTCTCGAGTTACTATAGTAACTAAACGACACTGTTTGTTATTCAGAGAGTGCCTGTCTTCTGCACAGAATTGGGCCTTTGTTCAGCCTGTTGCCTTTTATATTCCTCAAATCTCCCACTTTGCAAATATTTTCCCTTTTTTTTTTTTTCAATTTGTTTTGTTCATTTTTCTCCCCCCAGCTGATGGTCATCAGTCGGACCAGAGGCCAGTGCACAGCTCCCAGGAGCAAACCTAGACCCTGCAGCCAGGAGAAGTGGGAAGCTGGGAGGGGGCATGGCCAGCTCTTCAGAGTGGGCAGCAAACAGCCCTTCTCTGGCCCCAGCTGCAAGTGCTGGCATGAGAGAAGGAAGAGGGAATGTGGGTTCATTTGTGAATCTGCTTCTCCGATACTTTAGAGCAGATCAGAGGGCTGGGTGCTGCACTGTGGGATCAAGGCCCAGTCCCACTGTCAGACCAGTGGAAGAGCAGGGAGGAGCTGGAGGGAGCTGTGCTGCTGCCTGAGCCCCTCTGGCACGGCTGTGCCAGCGCCCCGCAGACAGGCTGCTGCTTCCAGAAGTGCCTTTGGCACGGTTAGCCCTTCCAGGCAGCACAACGTCTGCCAGGGAGCCAGGGCTGCTGTTGTCACTTGTTAATGAGCATCAGTATGGCATCCAGCACCCTCTGAAGCAGAAGAAAACACCCACTTGAGGCCTGAGGCAGCGCTTCCATGACCAGCCTGGCAGGGAGCCCTGCTCTTGCTGGCTCGCAGCCCTGACCGTGACCCAGGGAGCTGCTGCTCTCAGGTCACTGACCCCTCCAAACTGCTGCCTCCTGTGTGGGCCGATGGCTTACTTTTGGGTCCAGCAGCCCTGACACTCTATCCAGTGTGCAGACAGACACTCAGCCCTCCTTGCAGGAGGTCAGGCTGCCCAGCCACCCCAGAGAAAGGGAGCACCTAAAATAAGGAGAGGAAGTTTTTGAAATACATAGCCCTTAGGAAATTATTTGGACCCTCAAGAGTAGTCAGGGAGATAGAAAGCAAAAGCTTTGCACCAGAGCTGCATGACTAGTTTGCATGTATGTGTTTGGCTTTTTAATAAAATACCAGTAAACACAATATGCCTGCAGATAAGAATGATGGGCACTAGCTGACTACTTTGTGCGTTAAAAGTGAATATACCAGCATTAGCTAAATAACAGCATCATTATGTAAATAATGCCAGTCTATCCACTCAGCAGTTCTTAGAGCTAACGACTCTATTTATTTTTGTAAATATATTTTGCCTGTGATTAAGTAGGAATAAATTGACCCTTCTCCTCTAACATTTCAATACTTCTTATGTAATGTTGATGGGAACAGCACTTTATAGTTAATGTAGCTGTGTATTTTGTGTCCTTCCCTTCCTTTTTCTGATTATCACCCAGTTAATACCACAGGCCAAATCTACTGCTGCTGTAAGTCAGCATTATGCCACTTGCATTGTTTGAACAAGGGCCAGACGGTGGCCTGGGATGCTGAACATTGATTCACTGAGTCTTTATTCCATGTAAGAGACATTTAGTTGAACAAATTGTAAACTGAGTGCTACCAGGCTAGGTAACAATCTTTCTGCCAAACCCATCCCTGCAGAGCAGCTTTCCCTGGGGAAGGGGTGGCAGAGGCAGAGCAGGGAAGCAGGATTACTCTCATGTCATTTGCAGGTGTTCAGGGAATGCCAGGAGTAA